ATTTTTTCTGCCCCAGACTAAGAACTCCTTAGTTGTCTCCTCTTCCTGCAGCCAATGTTTGCCTTTGCAAGTTTGGGGTTCATTCTGTGCTGAGCTCTTAGTCATGTTGTAACATCTTTATTATTTATACAAGTGATACACCAAATAATATTAAGATTGTGGAAACTAAAGGTTGTCAGGTGCAGTTACTTGGCTCCCCATCACACTTGATCAAGGAGATCTTCAGATATTTTGCTTTTGATCATGCAGAAGACTTCATTTGTGTAATGTTTTGTACTGTAGTTAGGTGTTTGAGACAGCTTACCTTATTATTAATTGAAATATTTTAATCTACCTTTTGACCAGGTATCCAGCTCACATTGAAGAAATTGATTATGAAGAAGGAAAAGTACTTATCCATTTCAAACGCTGGAACCATAGATACGATGAATGGTTTTGTTGGGACAGTCCTTATTTGCGTCCCTTAGAGAAAATACAGTTAAGAAAAGAAGGATTACATGAGGAAGAAGGTTGTGCAGTAAGTAGAAAACAGGAAAGTTGAGTGTGTAACAGGTTAATGTGCAGTTGTATGAATTATGAACATTTAAAATGCTTCACTGTTGCTGTCTCACCTGCTGCATGTTTTACGATTTACTTTAAATATTAGAAAACTAATCATTTTGATGTTTTAATGAAGTTGTATGTTTCAGTAATTCTCAGATGAAAACACTTAACTACTGTTTTGTAGGGATTTCATATAAATGATCAGGTATTGGCATGCTGGTCCGATTGTCGCTTCTATCCAGCCAAAGTTACTTCTGTTAACAAAGATGGTAAGGAGTCACTTTTGATTTTTGTCATGCTTGTTAGTAATGCATTTCTAATTGTATTCTAACCTTTTTGCTTGTGTGGAAAGGTAGTACAGCAGACAAGACAACTGTGAAAAGTTGTCTATAACTTTCAATTATGTGTTTTGGTCTGCCATCAACTTTTTTAACCAAACCTATTAGTCTTTTTATGAGATAAAAGAACTTTACGCTGGGATATCCAGTCAATAACTGGACTATATTTGGGAAAAGTTGTTTCTTCTTACATTTATTATCAGGAGATGCATGTAACAGCAGTAGAACTAGTGTCAGAGCTGCAAAAACGCTTCACAAATAGGAACAAACACAAACGCACAGCCATGCTTCTCCTTTATGAGTATCAGTAAGGAGCCACGAGGGACTTGCTCTTGTGCTGAGCTTTCTTTAGATTGACTGTATGTTGTAAAATCAAAGAAAAGAAATCTGTGGAGTATTCCACCAAAAATATGTTTGGGTTTTGTGAGGGAAGTATATCTAAGGAGCAGCTCTAAGCTTAGACATGCGCCTTTATGCTTACTGTAATTATTTTTGGTCACTTCACTGTTTCTCCCTTACTTGGCCTGTGTAAGACTGCTGCTGTTGAAGTTTCTAACACAGATAAGGCAGCTTTTATCTAGAGCTAAATATGCAATTAGAGTATTGGAGCTGTTAGCAAATGCTCTGTTAAATAACTTCTGGTCTTTAAACTACTATGCTTTATTTTCAAATTTCAGGTACATACACTGTGAAATTTTATGATGGTGTAGTTCAGACTGTCAAAAACATTCATGTCAAAGCTTTTTCCAAAGATCAGGTAAGTATTGTGATGCTACTACTGTATTCTAAAATTGGCAGTTCAGGTGGCTAGATTTGATAAATGATAAAATATGAAATGAATGAAACATCTCTGTTGCTAAGATGCAATACATCTGAAATTAAATCAGTTAAAATGAAAAGGTTATGCAAATATATGTGGTATGATTTGCAAAGCGCTCAGGTTCATGTTCTCATGCATGCATATCTTGAACTAAAGAAGTCATAGGCATATAAATAAAACAGTTTTCTAAAAATCATTGGAAGATGTGGAATGTACATACTAAAGCTAGTGGTAGGTTATTGAAACATGTTTTGGTTGTCTCACCTGTTTGAGTTTAGTTTAAATACACGCATCTTAAAAATTAAGGGATGGGGACTATGGAGTGGACAGAAACTATTCTTTCCTGAAGTAACTACTTGATTGTCTTGAGACTTTTCAGGAAGCTGTCTAGTAATCTTTCACCTCACAACTTCGAAAAGATAAGCTTTCTTACTAATCCACATTCTGCTTCCACCAGTCCTTCACCTACTCAGTGCTTTGGGTTCAGCTTGTGGTAGAAAGTAGAAGTGAACTAGTCTGAAAAAAAAAAATAAATAAAAATTGTCCTACTTGCGGTGAGAGGGAAGAAGTGCTACTTTATACTTCAGTTTTTCATGTGTGGGCACTTTGTAGGAAAGGCTGACAAGTTCTAGTACTGTGTAACTTAGTTAAATCTTCTTAAGTACCTGGTTCAGAATAATTTTCATTACAGGAATGGTTTTAAGTTGGAGATCTTGCCACACGTTCCTGTGTGGTAGCTGTAGCCTGTGTTTTTAGTTGTGCCTTCTGCTTTTAGTTTTCTGGAACTTCTAATTTTGAGCAAAGAAATTGAATCCCTTCCTCCAACCCAAGTCTTAAATACAGATTCCAATAATGAATATTAATGGCTACCATTTAAATCTGTCACTGTTGTGAAAAGGCATGCCATTCCTTGGAGGTCTCCAGATTTGTCGATCTGCCAGGCTGGGAGGGAAAACTATTTCAGATTTGCCACAAAGTGCTCTTAATAGCTTTCAAATGGTAATAATTGTGCCTGGTTGAGGGTTGACTAATACTCACAAGGGAACTATCTGAAGAATCTTCATTGCCATGAGAAATATTTCTACCATGTTTAACCTTGAATACGTGAAGTTGAAGAATTTTAAGAAACATTCTGCATGAGAAAGGCAGAATCTCTCCTCTCTCCCTTAGGGAGTTTCATATTTCCAAGTAGCTTTGGGTAGGTTTTGAAAGGGGTTTAAGTTTTCTTCAGTTCACTACTGGCCAGGAAGATTTCTCGAAACCCAAGAGATAAATTATGCTAGAACATTTTGTTTGGTCCTTTAGCATAAGCAAGTATAAAGGGAGAATTTCCTAGTGAGCTCTGTGCGTACAGGTACATCACTAATGTAGCAGCCTGCTGGCAGTGGAGGGAAAGTGTCTTGTTCCTGTTCATCAGTAGGAGAGACTGTAGCCACAAAGACACGCATGGCTCATATTTTTGCTGTTCTTTAAAAAAAATAAAAAAATTAAAAAAAAAAAAAGACCCCTAAGCCACATGATTTCTGAAAAGAGCAACATAAGTTGGTTTTCTTTTCTTTAAGGACAGTGTTAGTCTGTCCTTGTGTAGAGGGTGTCATGTGCTACATTGAACAGTGATGGTAAAATGCTAATGACCTGCACAGTGTGATTGTACTTCAGCAAGGACACACCACTTTTAAGAGTTCAGTAACATCAAGAAGTAATTTAGACGTACTGTATTTATGGTCCAGTTTCTTGAGAATAATTTGATTAAGACAGTTCATGTGTGTTCCAGTGCCATATACTTCATTCAAATCGGATGGTTCTATGAACAGCTCAACCGATAAAACCTAATGTCTGAGGGATGGTGTTTTTTTTGAATTTTTTTTAACTGATATTTGAGTTTCCACTGAAGCTTCTCCCATAGCTGTGGAATTTAAGGAATTTACAGAAGACAGATTTTTATGATGTCTGGTAAAAGTGGTGCTCAGACACCTAAGAAGGTGAAAGACGTTTTTCCTCTTTGTCTAGCTGATTTCATGAAATGTACAGCAATTTTATCTCATGTTTTATAAAGTGTTTTTTAATCACCTTTGTGCAAAGTATGGTTGAAATAATGTCATGGAAGGTGGAGCAGATTGTCCATTCACCATTTTATTGCATCAAGATTATTTCGTAGGACTGTGGTCTGAAAATGGCAATCTTAATAGGTGTGAGTTCATGTGAGCCATATATAGGTAGGAAGATTGGAGTGGGAAGAGGCAAGATGCAGTGTAGTACAAGGAGATAGTAAGTCTTAAGTGTATCCTCGAATTTTGTATAACTCAAATCAGCTGTTCCGCTTGAGTTCCCCAAAGAGGTATGGAGAGGTATTCAGCCTTTCTTGTCCTTTGATCCTGTTCAAAGTTCATAAGCTGCTTGTGCCTTGCAGAACTATGGCTGTAAAGGAGTATGATTGCTCTTTAATACTTCAAGTTATTAGGCAACAAGAGGAGGGACGTTAGTTCAACTAAAGGCAGCGTTGACATACGACCAAATATAAATTATTAATCCAGGTGCAAAGTTAAAAGGTTTCTATTCATCAGACCAGAGAAGTTCTGGGACAGCCTGTAGCAGGGTCATTGGAGGGGGAAGAAACCAAAATCGGCATCCCCCTGGGTGGTGTTAATGCGAAACCTGATCACAAAACAGAGAGGACGCTGAGTAGCAGTGACCTGTTGATATAGGGGTGTTCTTCCTGGTGTGGTGGTGTTATATGAGAACTATGGGGAAATGAGATAACGGTTGAATATTGTATCAGTAACTTGTTAGCCAGGGACTGCTAGGGATTTTTTGCATCCTCTCATGATGAACATAAATTACAGAAGGACAAAAGTTTCAAGTTTTGTTTTCAAATTTAAATATGTAAATTTT